CCTGACCTAGGGTGAGTTTTAAATAGGGACAATTTTTAACGATTTTAAAGAGCCACAGCTACCAATATTTGGGTTTTAATTGGTTTTTAGTAGGGGAAATTTTTTTGTATGATGTTTTAATATGCTGTGAGCCGCCCTGAGTCCCATGGGGAGAAGGGCGGCATATAAATCCTGTTTATTATTATTATTATTATTATTAGGGCTCTAGAAAGGGTGCAGAGAAGAGCAACAGAGATGATCAGGTGACTGGAGGCTAAAACATATAAGGAACCGTTGCTGGAATTGGGTATGTCTAGTCCAGGGATAGGCAACCTTGGCTCTTTTATGACTCATGGACTTCAACTCGCAGAATTCCTGTGCCAGCCATGCTGAGGGGAAAGGGAGAGGTTTCCAAGCTGAGCCATGCTGGCTCAGGAATTCTGGGAGTTGAAGTCCACCAGCCATAAAAGAGCCAAAGTCTAATCTAATGAGGAGAAGGACGAGGGGTGACAGGATAGCAGTCTTCCAATATTTGAGGGGTTGCCCCAAAGAAGAGGGAGTCAAGCTATTCTCCAAAGCCCTAAAGGCAGGACAAGAAACAACCCTCCCTCCTTAATTTAGTGGCAAGCCTTCTTTTCCACGATCGTTATTACAGGGTTATTAGCATCGCTGTAATTATGAATAATATAATGAGCGTTCGGATGATGGGAACGGTATTATAAGGGCCCTCTGGGCCCTTCAAGATCACGTGAGGTGTTTATACCACTTTACAAGGCCTTGTTAAGGCCACACTTGAAATACGGCATCCATTTTTGGTCACCACAATGTAAAAAAGATGTTGAGACTCTAGAAAGAGTGCAGAGAAGAGCAACAAAGATGATCAGGGGACTGGAGGCTAAAACATATAAGGAATGGTGGAAGCCAACCAGACATTGGAATACGTGACCATGGGGGGGGGGGGAAAGGATGCTGCAACAGTCGTAAGTGTGAAAATCGGTCATAAGTCACTTTTTTCAGTGCCGTTGTAACTTCGAACAGTCACTAAATGAACTGTTGTAAGCCAAGGACGACCCTTTCTCCTTTTTATACAAATTCCAGATTGTATGCCTATCACAAAGCATTACTGGGAATGTGGCTTACCTGGAAATCATTGCCAAGGTGGTAATTCCCAACACCGTAGTTGTAAGTTAGCTCTGCGACAAAGTGGTCATCCTCCGGTCCATAGCCCACCATAGTTTTGCTCCATTTGCCATCGTAGGGACTAGAAACATATCCACTTTAGTTTGTTTACAGGGACAGCATCACCGCAAAACATCTCTACGGTTTCCCCTTCTCTTGGAACAAGCCTGGAGTCTACAGGTAGGCCTCAACTTATGACCGCGGTTGGGGACCAGAATTTCCACCGCTAAATAAGGCAGTTGTTGATTGAGTTGTGCCCCATTTTATGACCTTTTTTGCCATGGTTGTTAAGTGAATCGCTGGAGTTGATTCGTGAATCCTGCGGTCATTAAGCGGCAAGGATCCTTCGTGTGGAAAAACAGTCATAAGGGACTTTTCTCGGTGCTGTTGTAATTTTGAATGGTCACTAAACCAGCTGTTGTAAGTCGAGGACTCCCCGAAGAAGCAAGCTAAGGCAGGAGGTAAAATCACCGTACCTGCTGGAGGGCTGCAATTACAGGTCTTCCTCAACTCACGACCACAATCAAACCCAATCTTTCTGTTGCTAAGTGAGACATTTGTTAAGCGAATTTTGCCCCATTTCACGACCAATTTTTTGCCACTGTTGTTAAAGAGAATCCCCGCAGCTGTTAAGTGAGTCACACAGTTGTTAAGTGAATCCGGCTCCCCCCCCCCGTTGACCCTGCTTGTCAGGTCACAAAAGGGGAATCACGTGACCCCGGGATGCTGCGACCATCATAAATAGGAGTCAGTTGGCGAGCGTCTGAATTTTGATTATGTGATGCTGCAATGACCGTTAAGTGTGAAAAACTGTCATTAGGTGTGAAAAACGGTTCATAAGCCACTTTTTTCAGCGCTGTTGTAACTGTGGCCACTAAATAAACTAATGTTAAGTCGAGGATGGCCTGTAGAAGGCATCAAAAACTTTGCAGGAGACAGAACAGATAAATTCCCTGCACGTCCCTTGTTCTGAGACAGCACAGCCTGTCAACCCTCCAATCCAGTTTCTCTGATAAGAGTAGCCATGATTAAACCTACATACCCGTTGCATGCGGCCTTGCAACCTTCTTCAAATTCTTCATGTCTCAGGACCTGTGGGTTCAAACCCACGTCAAACTGGTCAGTATTCAAGTCACTTGTGCAGAGAGAGAGAGAGAGAGAGAGCCACAGGCAATGTCCCTTAAAATTGATTTATCTGCAAAATATATTTCTATACTTTTGAGGGCGAGTGCAGACAGTCCTTGAGTTATGACTGTAATGGACACTGTAATGGTTTTTTTGCAGCAGTTATTAAGTGAGCCTGGTGGTTGTAAACCCCCACATTTGTTAAGTAAATATTACAATCATAAAGGGGTTTACCATGGGCATGGTTTTGTCAAAAACTGGAAGTAACTGCTAATTTATTGGCAAAACCATCATAAAAACAGTCACGTAATTCAAGGACTATCAGCCCTCACAATCAGAAGGTTTTATTTAAAAATTGCAACCAAGTGGGCAGGACTCAAGATTATGAAAAAAATTAAAATGTATATTCCAATCCTCAAATGATGATGTAGTAGAATAGACTAGAGCTGGAAGGGGCCTTGGAGGTCTTCTAGTCCAGCCCCCTACTCAAGCAGGAGAAGTCCTATACCATTTCAGTATAGATAAGGCCAAAGGGCTACAGTCTTAACTGCATAGAAAATAATTTAAACGTAAATCTTTGAAGTTAAAATATTATAATTGGCGAAAGCAAAAGACGCTCCCCAAGGAAACTTGGGTGCAAGAAGTAGCCGTAGCACACTGGCCACTCTAGGGAACTATATCTCGGTGGTCTTCCGCCTCAGGGGGCTCACATCGATGACGTCATCTCTTAGCCTAAAAGTCCTCCGTTTTCTCGGGTCTCTGGTCGCCTCCCCTAAAGCTTACTTACGCGCATGCCCAGTAGCTCTCGGTAAAAACGGATGGTCTGAGCTCGGTCGCCGACTTTGAAGACAAAGTGTAACGCGCGTCTCGCCTTCATTTTCTTCTCTCGAAAGATCGGAAGCTAACACGGGTTCTGGGATTCCCGGCTATTTTATTTTGTCGCGGCGTGTCGCCGTGTGATGACGTCACAAGCACATGGTCGCAGCACGCGGACTAGGTCTTTCGCTGCGGAAAATCCTTACCGCAGCCAATGGGAGCTATTTCTAATCGGAAGTTCCTGTAGCCGCTCTATATCATTTCCTCTATGGCTGAAATGAACCATTTGTTTTACTGGAGACGGCTATCAGCCACCTTGACATCGAAATCTCGCGAGATTACCGCTAAGTCTCACATCTGTGACCATTTCCGCCCGTGAGCAAGATGGCAACCTTGTTCAAGCATGCATGGGCTCCCCTGCTCTTGACGCCGTGTCGGATTAACGTTGGGAGCCGCCGCGGCATTCGCGGCCTAAGAAGGAAACCCCTCCGCGTGCTGCCCTCGGTCGCGCAGGCGCAGGAGCAGCAACGGATCGTTCCCAGCAAAGTTAAGACCCCTTACATCCCAAAAGCGCCCAGAAAGGAACGCCAGCCGGAACCGGAACGTGAAGAGGCGGAGCTTCGTTACGAGCGGGCCGGACCCAATGAGAAGAGACTTAGGTAATGTCATTCGCGCAAAGCATCCTGGGTGCTGTAGTGCGAGCTTCTGGGGAAAGTAAGCAAAAAATGGAAGGCCCGAACCACAATTCCCAGCGGCCTTCGGGAGAAAGACAGGAGTCGCGGATTGTGACCTGCCGCAAAGCTTTCTGGGAATTGTAGTTTTGAGGAGAATCGAGGCGAAAAAAGCTATATTTTTCTTTTTTTGCTGAAAAATCCGATGGGGACATTCGTTTCCCCCCCGTTCCTTTCCTTCTTCCCCCACACCCGCTGTCGTAGCTGATGTGTTGGATTCCCAATTCCTGATTTCCATCAATGCCCATCACTCCCCAGCCAGCAGCACCAGTGATGGTGGACTACAATGTTGGAGCTGGAGTCCATTTGATCTAAAGGAAACCGTCAGAGAAAAGCCCTTTTTTCCCGTTACTCGGTTACATATTACCCTGTGAAATATTTTAGCTGTGATGTGCAGTTGGTGCATCATGATTTAAACATGTGACTACCCTATTCCACCCCTAAACAAATCAGGCCTAAATCAGAAAAGGAACTTAACAACTGTGTTGCTCTGCAATGATAATTTTGGAATCAACTGGGATAGTAAATCGAGAGAGGGAGAGAGAGAGAGAGAGAGATATGGATGGATAAATATGATAGATGAGATAAATAATGAAATAGGTAGGTAGAAAGATGGATAGAGAGATAGACAGAATAGACAGATAGATAGAGATCGATGGATGAATGATAGAAATAACTAGAGAGAGAGAGAGAGAGAGATAATGAGATCGGTAGATAGACAGATGGAGAGAGAGAGGGACTAGTCCAGTGGTGGCAAACCTATGGCACGCGTACCAGAGGCGGCACTCAGAGCCCTCTCTGTGGGCACACAGGCCATGCCCTGGAGATGGCAACCGTCCCTCTTCAACCAGCCGCCTGCTAACTCGCCGAGGTCCCACATGGCTGGATGCATCCCAGCACCCATGCGCTCGCTGGCCTCTGTGTGCAGAGGTTGATGGTGTCAGGCAGCCACTGCCCCTGCCACACCTTGCCCTTTGACAATGGCACCCCCGCCCTGCCTCGCCTTGCCTCATCCCGCAGGAAGAGCCTCCTGCCCACCGCCCCAACTGCCAGAGACCCCCTGGATCTCCCCCAACCCTGCCCGGCCCCCACAGGCGTCCCTCCCCATGAGCAACATCGAGGTGATCACGCCCACTTTGGCCATTCCCACCCAATCTGCCATGACCACCACAGCCACGCCCACCCAGTGGGGCATGCCCACCTGGCACCCGGCGATAAATAAGTGGTTTTGGGTTGCAATTTGGACATTTGGTCTCTAAAAGGTTCGCCATCACTGGACTAGATAGATAATGAAATAGATAGGGAATAGATAGAGATTGATCGATGGATGAATAATAAATAGAAATAGCTAGAGAGCTAGATTAGATAGAGAGACAGACAGACACAGACAGATAAAGTCAGTCAATCTTTTGGGTGATGCCATGTTCCTTTCTTATGCTCTTTTATTTTTTTAAATGACTTTCTTCTCCAGGGAGACTTTGACTGATCCCCTCTTTTCCCAACAGGAATTTGGTGACCCTGGCGAAGTCCAGGGCATTTCGCGAGAAGCACGGGAAAATTCTGCTGGAAGGCCGGAGGCTCATTTTGGATGCTCTGGAGGCGGGAGCCGTTCCGCAGACGATCTTCTTTAGCCTAATGGAGAATCTGAAGATGCTGCCGGCGGCCAAACTCAAACGGACCACCCTTGTCAAAGTGAAATACAACGAGATCAAGATGTGGTCGGACGTCATCACTCCACAGGGGTTGATCGGTAAGTTCCGGAAGAAACCGGAGGGCTACAGATCTAGTTGTTATTTATTTATGAAATGTTTATCCTGCCTTTATGACTTCATAAGTAACTTGAAGCAGGGAACACTAATACTAATCTAATAATCTTTCCTCCTCCTGTTTTCCCCAACACAACAATCCTGTGAGGTGGGTTGGGCTGAGACTGAGGGGCTGGCCCAAAGTCACCCAGCCAGCTTTCATGCCTAAGGCGGGACTAGAACTCACAGTCTCCCAGTGATTGGCCCAAAGTTACCCGGCTGGCTTTCCCACCTAAGACGGGACTAGAATTCACAGTCTCCTGGTGATTGGCCCAAAGTCACCCAGCCAGCTTTCATGCCTGAGGTAGGACTAGAACTCACAGTCTCCCAGTGATTGGCCCAAAGTCACCCAGCCAGCTTTCATGCCTAAGGCGGGACTAGAACTCACAGTCTCCCAGTGATTGGTCCAAAGTTACTCAGCTGGCTTTCTCGCCTAAGGCGGGACTAGAATTCACCGTCTCCTGGTGATTGGCCCAGAGTCACACAGCCGCCTTTCATGCATAAGGCAGGACTAGAACTCACAGTCTCCCAGTGATTGGCCCAAAGTCTTGCAACTGGCTTTGGTGCCTAAGGTGGAAACTAGAATTCAGTCTACCAGTGATTGGCCCATAGTCACCCAGCCAGCTTTCGTACCTAAAGTGGAACTAGAATTCACAGTCTCCTAGTGATTGACCCAAAGTCACCCAGCCGAATTTCGTGCCTAAAACGGGACTAGAACTCACAGTCACCCAGCGATTGGCCCAAAGTCACCCAACCAGTTTTTGTACCTAAGGCAGGACTAGAACTCACCTTCTCCTGGTTTCTAGCCCAGCGCCTTTAATCACTCCCACCAAGCTGACTCAGAGAGGGCTTTGTTCCGGCCTTAGCAGCCAAGTTGAGTAGGATCTCACGGGAACCGCCTCTGAGGACAGCATTTGGTGTTTTCTTGGTGTTTTTTTATTGTTGAGTAATCCTTCTGCTCTTTTTCCAAGCAGTGTGTATAAATCAATCTACAGCTGGCTGCTTTCCAGCCGTTCAAGCTTGGAGCAGCTCTGGGGAAAGTCTCATAAAAAAATTCTTGCAGATGCTTCGCACCTTCTCACGTCCCCCCTCCCCGTTGTGCCTTGGTGGCCAAGGTTGTGCACAGGGCCTCTGGCTCAGCGCTGCTCAGCCCCTTCAGATTTCCCGAACTGCGAGATTTTTGCGATGAAGCTTTGGTGGAGGGCGGGACCCCGCCCGGAGGCCGAAGAAGCAGTTTGTGGCTTTTCAAGAGAGGATGTGTCCTGGTTTAGCCCTTGTTTTGGGGTTGCAAAGACGTTTCTGAACTGTTGAGGGTGAAAGAGAGAAGGAAGAAAGAAGAGAGAGAGAAAGAAAAGGAGAAAGAAAGAGACAAAAGAGAGAGAAAAACAAAAAGAGAAAAGGAGAGAGAAAGAAAAAGAGAAGAGAGAAAGAAAGAAAAAGAGGAGAGAGAAAGAAAAAGAGAAAGAAAAAAGGAGAAAGAAAAAAAGAAAAGGAGAAAGAAAAGAAAAAGAGAAGGAAAAGAGAAAGAGAGAAAGAGAAAAGAGAGAAAAAGAAAAAAGGGAAAGAGAAAGAAGAAAAAAGAAAGAAAAAGAAGGAAAAAGAAAGACAAAGAGAGAAAGAAAAAGAGAGAAAGAAAAAAAAGAAAAGGAGAAAGTAAAAAAAAAAGAGAGAGAGACTTTAAGCCTTTTTGCCCCGTCCTTTCGCCTTGCTGGCATCCCCCTCAAGCTGAGGCCAGGGGTGGGCAGGGGGCAGCAGTCTTTCTCTTGAGCTCAGGGGTTCAACCCTTTAAACTGTTGAACCCCAACTTTACAACCTTTACCATGCTAGAAGCCACCCAGTGTGACCTTATGTGCGAGTTGGGCAGCTAAATGTAATAGTAGTAGTAGTAGTACTAGTAATAATAATAATAATCTATATAAATAAAAATGTAAATGTTCGTTTGTTCAAAATCTTAAATCTCCGAAAGTTCTTCACCGATTGCTTTGAAATTTTGACACAACGTTGCATTCGAATACGCGCGGGTTTTTATATACCTACTATTATATCGATGTCACACCTGTGACAGGTAAAAACATGCTTTTTTTGAAAAACAGCGCCATCTGTTGGACGTAAAAGCAACACACGCAGACTGAGCCACAGCAACGCGTGGCCGGGTACAGCTAGTAATAATAATAATATTTATGATGGCTGCAGTGTCCCAAGGGTCATCGGATCCCCTTTTGCGACCTTCGGGCAAGCCAAGTCAATGAGGGGAATCAGATTCACTTAACAACCGTGTTACTAATTTAACAACTGCAACTTTTGAAGTACACCCCCCCCCCATAAAGGTCTGTTGTAACTTCAAACGGTCTCTAAAGAATTGGGTAAATCAAGGACTACTGGTAGGCATAGGAGAGCTATGCTGCTCAGTGGTTAGAATGTAGTACTGCAGGCTACTTCTGCTGACTTCCGGCTGCTGTCAGTTCGATCCTGACCGGCTCAAGGTCAGGATCAAACTTGTTGGGGGCAAGAGGCTGACTCTGCAAACTGCTTAGAAAGGGTTCTAAAGCATTATAAAGCGGTATATAAGTCTAAGTTCTATTGTTATTGCTTGCTTGCTTGCTTCTTTCCTTCTCTCCCTCCCTCTTCTCCTTCCTTCCTTCCTTCCTTCCTTCCCATGGTGGAGCAGTGGTCAGAGTGCTGTATTGCAGCCTGACTATGCCCACAGCCAGGAGTTCGATTCTGACCGGCTCAAGGTTCTCAGCCTTCCGTCCTTCCTTGTTGGGGGCAAGAGGCTGACTCTGCAAACCGCTTAGAAAGGGCTCTAAAGCATTATAAAGCAGCATATAAGTCTAAGTTCTATTGTTATTGCTTGCTTCTTTCCTTCTCTCCCTCCCTTTTCTCCTTCCTTCCTTCCTTCCCATGGTGGAGCAGTGGTCAGAGTGCTGTATTGCAGGCTGACTATGCCCACAGCCAGGAGTTCGATTCTGACCGGCTCAAGGTTGACTCAGCCTTTCGTCCTTCTGTGGTCGGTAAAATTGTTGGGGGCCATAGACCGACTCTATAAACCGCTTAGAGAGGGCTGTAAAGCACTATATAAGTCTAATTGCTATTGCTTGCTTCCGTCCTTTCCCTCCTTCCCTTTCTGTCTGTCTGTCATGGTATTCCAGCCCCCCCCCCAAATCTGTAAACCACTTAGAGAGGGCTGTAAAACACCGCAAAGCGGTATATAAGTCCAAATACTATTACTATTTTCTCCTTCTGTTTTCCTTTAACAACAGCCTTGTGAGGTAGGCTGGGCTGAGAAAGGGCAATTGAGCTTCTGCAACTGGGGGTGGACCAAGACCTGCTCCTACCCCCTTGCCCCCCCCCCCCGACTTCCCCTCCCAGCCAATCACCTCCAGCCTCTCTTGATTTCTTGCAGGCATTTTTGCCATGCCCCATCACACCAAAATGTCCTATCCCGAAGTCCCGCAGGAGCACGCCTTGCCTCTCACGCTGATCTGCGACAACATTCGGGATCCCGGGAATCTGGGCACCATCCTGAGGTCGGCGGCGGGAGCCGGCTGCTGCAGTGTGCTGCTTGTCAAAGGTGGGGAGGGGTTTCCGGGCACGGTGGAGGAGAAGCGGACTGGATTCGATCTCGGCTCTTCCTCCACGGGGTGGGAAGGGAGAAATCGGCAGAGTCGGGGTGGGGTGGGGGATCTCCTCTAGCAAAGTCAATTGGCAATTTTGGGGGCTCTGTACTGTTCCCCCTGCAAAGGAGAGGAGGGTTTTTTTTTGAGCCCAGCCTGACTGTGGATGTGGAGCCATAAGATTTTTTATAGCACCTCAGTTTGAAAGGGGTGGAAAAAGGGTTTTACTTCGGTATGACTTCTTTGATGGGGAGCTGTGAGGAAGAACTTTGCCTGCTTTAAGAGAGAGGGGGGAGACTTCCACTCCCAGAATTCCCCAGCCAATATTCATTAAGATAGGTGGGCTTCAATTCCCAGAATCCCTCAGCCAGACTTCTTTAAGATGGGTGGATTTCCACTCCCAGAATTTCCCAGCCAGCATGCTTTGAGATGGCTGGACTTCATCTCCCAGAATTCCCCAGCCAATATTCATTAAGATGGGTGGACTTCAATTCCCAGAATTCCCCAGCCAGCCTGCTTTAAGATAGATGGACTTCCACTCCCAGAATTCCCCAGCCAGCCTGCTTTAAGATGGCGGGACTTCCACTCCCAGAATTCCCTGCCCATCATCCTTTAAGATAGAAGGATTTCAACTCCCAGAATTCCCCAGCCAATATTCATTAAGATGGGTGGACTTCCAACTTCCAGAATTCCCCAACCAGCATGCTTTGAGATGGGGGGACTTCATCTCCCAGAATTCCCCAGGCAACATTCATTTTAGATGAGTGGACTTCAATTCCCAGAATTCCCCAGCCAGCCTGCTTTAAGAGGGGTGAACCCCGTAACCGACTGGGGAATCCTGGGAGTTGAAGTCCACCCGTCTTACAATCGATTGAGAAACGCTGCTGCAGCCTCAACCTTTGTCCTCTCCTCCCGCAGGCTGCGTGGATGCCTGGGAACCCAAAGTCCTTCGGGCTGGGATGGGCGCTCACTTCCGGATCCCCATCGTCTCCAACCTGGAGTGGGACCTGGTGCCCAATTACCTGCCCACCGAAAGCCGCATCCACGTGGCCGAAAGCCGCCAGGAGGGACCCCCAGGAGAGGCTGAAGGGGCTTCAGCACCCCAGGCTGCCCGCAGGGGCTCCACCCGGAAGTCCCAACTGGCCCCGTCAAAGGGGAGCCAGGCGGAGGAGGAGGAGGAGGAGGAGGAAGAACGAATGTCACTGCAATTCCAGCCTTATTACAAGCCATGGATGATGGATGCCTCCGTCGCCGTCGTGGTTGGCGGCGAGACCCACGGGGTGAGCCCCGAAGCCAAACGTCTGGCGCAGAGGAGCGGCGGGAAGCGGCTGGCCATCCCGGTGGTCCCCGGCGTGGAGAGTTTGAATTCCGCCATGGCGGCCGGCGTCCTTCTGTTCGAGGCCAAGAGACAGCTGCTGGTCCAGGAAGGCGGGGCTTCCAGGCTGGAGTTCAAACGATGAGGACTAGCATTCTGAATCTTTGTTTGTTTGTTTTTTGATTTGGGAAGAAAAGAAAGGCTACATGGTCTCTCTGGGTGGTCTCCATTTCGGCGTCTGCTGCTTTGCGGCTTCTCGCGTCGGGGAAGAGGCAAAAAAAGTCAAGATGGAGACGGGAATTAGGTAATCCTTTATATGTGCGAGGCTTTGATCAGGCAAAGATCAAAGATGGCCCACTTGACTTTTTGATACACACGCACACACACAGTGTACAAATTCCCTCTCTCCCCAATCAGTTTCTCCCCTTCCCCTCCATCTAAATGGGACGGTTTTTGGCGGCCCTGTGTGGGCAGTTGTGGGTCAGGATTTGCACACTTTTCTTGCCAAATTCAAGAAGGGATCAGGTGAGGTTTCCTCACGCAGCTAGTCCTCAACGACCGTCACTGAGTCACAATTTTGGCTATGAGTCACGACGGGCAGAATGCATTCAATAAAAGGTGCTGCAGCTCATGGAAGGATTTTATTTTCAATAAAAAATTGTGAGTCCAAAAAGCGGCCCCCAGATTCTTCCTATTTGTTGCGGCCATCAACCAACACCTTGTGACACCCGACAATGTAATAAACATTCAGCAACAACACACCATCTGCCTTGATTTCCGTCCGTGGTGAAAAGGTGCAGAGAAATTTAGCAGGTCGGGAGAAATTCCAGTCTCCTGGATGAGTTAACTGTACTTGTTTCAGAATAACAGAGCTGGAAGGGACCTGGGAGGTCATCTAGTCCAACCCCCTGCTTAGGCAGGAGACCCTCTACCATTCCAGACAAGTGGCTGTCCAGTCTCTTCTTAAAAACTTCCAGTGATGGAGAGCCCACGATTCCTGGTCCATTCGACAAGGTGACTAACGTCCATCAGGAGTTAAATGCTGGTGTTACCTCGGGTTGCAAAGACAACAATTCTCTGTAACCAATTCCCTTAAAACAGGGTAAAATGCTGAAAAGAACGGTGTCAAAAATTCACTTAGTGACGTCGACAATCCAATTATTGTTCCAACAATTCACTTAGAATTTGTAGTAAATAGGTACTATCATCTCTCTCATCTATCTATCCATCCATCCATCCATCCATCCATCCATCTATATCTATATATCTATCTATGCATCCATCCATCATCTCTCTCTCTATCTACCTACCTACCTACCTATCTGTGCATCCATCAATCATCTATCTACCTACCTACCTATCTGCATCCATCCAGTCATTATCTTTCTATCTATCTCTCTATATCTATATCTATCCATCTATCGCTATCTATCTATCTAGCTAGCTAGCTATCTATCTAGCTATCTATCTAGCTATCTATCCATTCTTCTGTCTGTCTCCGTCTATCTATCTATCTATCTATCTATCTATCTATCTATCTATCTATCTATCTATCCATTCTTCTGTCTGTCCATCCATCCATCTATCCATCATGTATGTATGTATGTATGTATGTATGTATGTATGTATGTATGTATCTATCTATCTATCTATCTATCTATCTATCTATCTATCTATCTATCTATCTATCTATCTATCTATCTATCATAGATAGATAGTGTGAGAAACAGTCATGTCACTTTTTTCAATGCAGTTGTAACTTTGAAAAGTCACTGAACAAATGGTTGTTAAGCCGAGGACTATCTGTAATTGTCCTCATTGTCTTGAAATTCCTCCTTAGTTTTAGAGTTGCTTCTCTCCTTGGTCAGTTTTCATCCGTTGCTTCTTGTCCTGCCTTCAGGGGCTTTGGAGAAGAGCTTGACCCCCCCCTTCTTTGTCACAACCCCTCAAATATTGGAACGCTGCTGTCATGTCCCCCCTCGTCCTTCTTTTCTCTAGACTAAATTTCAGAAGCTGGCAGCCAAGGATTTTTTTTTTTCCTCACCAGTTGACATTTTCTACAGTCCTTTTTTTTCTTTTTCATTTTCATCCATTGCTTTTGTTTGGAAAAGCAACCGAAGTTGGTTTAGGCCGCTGAGCTGGCAAAAGCCAACTAGCCCGGCTTTTTTCTCTGCCAGATCCTTCTGGGGGTTTTTTCCTCACAGAAAAAAAATGTACATTGTGCCGGGTAGAATTCACCGGCCCTGTGAAAACTTACAGGATGACATCACTTCTTCCCTCTGATCCTTTGCCAAAAAACCCCGGCCAGCCAGCCTCGCTCGCTGCTTTACTCCCAAATTTGGCCGTGTTTGTTCAGGAATGGCAGGATCCCTTTTGATTTATTTTTTTTTAAAACATTCTCCCTTGTACTGAAAACTGGCCTCCCTTTGCAGGGCTTCCGATGGTCTTTTTGTCAGTAAGCTTTGGGGAGGGGAAAAGCTTTTTGTTCTAACTCACAATTATTATTATTTTTTGCCCTGGTAAATGTGACTGCTGTGCATTATTACGAGGGCAGTTCGGGAAATAAACCTCCGTTTGGTTATCGATGACGGACACAATTAACAATTAACCAGTGGAACATCCTGCCTCCAGAAGCGGTGAATGCTCCAACACTGGAAGTTTTTAAGAAGAGACTGGACAGCCATTTGCCTGAAATGGTATAGGATTTCCTGCCTGAGCAGGGGGTTGGACTAGATGACCTCCAAGGTCCCTTCCAGCTTTATCATTATTATTATTACTCGCAGATACGCCTTAGAAAAACGACAGTGTTCCATTACTTTTCGATATAATCGGCATTCAAATGGAGGCCCTTGTCGTAACGTCTTAAACCAGGTTTGAAATTCGTTTTTAGTTATTGCTCAGCGCCAAATCTGAGGTGTGTGTGTGTGTGTGTGTGTGTGATCAAAAACATCCCAACGGAACTGCTTCAAAAGTTCTTGGGTGCATCTAGCAGTGTGTGGGCGAGCATTATATCGTGAACCAACACCACACCGGAAGTGGCGCCATTGAAAATCCCGCCAAATATGAAAATAGAATAGAATAGAGCTGGAAGGGACCTTGGAGGTCTTCCAGTCCAACCCCCTGCTCAGGCAGGAAACCCTATACCAGGGGTAGGCAACCTTGGCTCTTTTATGACTCGTGGACTTCAACTCCCAGAATTCCTGAGCCAGCATAGCTCAGCATGGAAACCTCTCCCTGTCTCCTCAGCATGGTTGGCTCAGAATTCTGGGAGTTGAAGTCCACAAGTCATAAAAGAGCCAAGGTTGCCCACCCCTGCCCTATACCATTTCAGACAAGTGACTGTTCAGTCTCTTCTTAAAAACCTCCATTGATGGAGTGCCCGCGATTTCTGGTGGCAAGCTGTTCCACTGGTTAATTGTCCTCACTGTCAGGAAGTTTCTCCTTAATTCCAGGTTGCTTCTCTCTTTGATCAGTTTCCAACCATTGTTTCTCCTCCTTCCATCTGGTGCTTTGGAGAATAATTTGACCCCCTCTTCTTTGTGGCAGCCCCTCAAAGATGCCGAAGGAGTACGGCTAGGGATGTTCACGGAGTGTGGTAGGTTAGAAACCTGGGTTGTTAAGTGAATCACTGCACTTGATAGGTTAGTAACCTGGTTGTTAAGTGAATCTGGTTTCCCCCATTGACTTTGCTGGTGAGAAAGTCACAAAAGGGGATCACGTGACCCCAGAATAGTGCAGTTGTCATAAATATGAATCAGTTGCCAAGGATCTGAATTTTGATCACGTGACCCTGAGGAGGCTGCAATGGCCGTAAGGGTGAAAAATGGTCCTAAGTCAGTTTTTTGAGTGCTTTTGTAACTTCGGTCACTAAATGAACTGTTTTAAGTTGAGGACTTCCCGTATGAAAGTTCCCAAACTTGAAATCCCTTCCCATGGAAAAGCAAATTATAGGGAGTTTGTTCTCCTCTTTTGCTGAGACAGCAATACGTAAATAATCAAGGAGAGAAGCAACCTGGAACTAAGGAGAAACTTCCTGACAGAACAATTCACCAGTGGAACAACCTGCCTCCAGAAGCGGTGAATGTGCCAACACTGGAAGTTTTTTAAAAAAGAGATTGGATAACCATTTGTCTGAAATGGTATAGGGTTTCCTGCCCGAGCAGGGGGTTGGACTAGATGACCTCTAAGGTCCCTTCCAACTGTTGATTACCATCTTCAAAGCGCACCATGGCATTGGACCTGGTTACCTCCGAGACCGCCTTCTGCCACAGATTGCCTCCCACCGGCCGATACGCTCCCACAGAGAGGGCCTCCTCAGGGTGCCGTCAGCCAGACAGTGTCGGCTGGCGACCCCCAGGGGGAGAGCCTTCTCTGTCGGAGCACCCACCCTCTGGAACGA